TACCGCAAAAATAAATAAATAAATACATGGAAAATACAACATTGTTATTCATTTTTAGCTAGATACTCTTGCCAACTGAAGGCTGGGCTTCTGTATTGAAAAGGAAGATCAGCAAGTGTTAGAGAGGCCTCAAGGAGATGCTAACCTCCAACTGAGACTTTCTCCTTGATGGAATCAACCAACAAAGGAAGTAACTCTCTCCCAGTGGTATTTGACTTGTTCCTGAATAGCTCTTCAAAGTGATCTCATGGACCACTCATGGCTGATGCCTGCGGATGCTGCTTCAGCAGCCTCTGCCTGCTTCAAGATCCTGTGGCCAGCTGGCTGCCAGGACCTGACCACTCCTGGCCTTGACCACTGCTGTCTGCCCCAAACTGACCACTGCTGCCTGCCCCACGCCCACCACACACCGTATTCCAGACTGACCAGGCCTGGGCCTCTACTTTGCCTCAGGGGATGAGCTTGATTCTAGGCTCAGCCATCCCAGCAAGTTAAGATGGAGAGAAGGGTACAAGAACGAAACTTCCTGAGCCCTTCCTAAAGGACAGACACTGTGAGACGTGTTTTACACAGGTTATCTCAGTTTTTCCCACATTTCAGTCATTCATGTACCACCTTCATGATTTCGGCTGTATTAGTACTATTCATTTACTTAGTGTTTTTCTTTAAATCAATTTGCCTTTCAAAAAGCACAGGATTTTATTTTAAAAGGAAAAGCTATATTATTTCCATAAATCATGGAGTCTAATGTGCTGCTTGTGTTTTTCTAACATGCGTCAATTGTGAGCTATTCAAATAATAAATGTTCATCCGTATACCACCTAAAACCACTGTGCACGCCATCAATCACACACACGCCAGCCTTTGGGAAATACTGTAGCATCTTAGTTAATGCTCACACATCGCTGGAAGGATGGTCTATAGATAAGAATGTGGAAGCTCAAAGGGGTCCCTTCCTGAAGTCCCATAGGTGGAAAGCCTTGGGGCTGAGATTTGAATGCAGACCGCCTAACTCCAGATGCCTAGGCTATTTCAACACTAGTGCTTTCCAGATGCATTTTTTCGATCCAAAGATTTCTTTAAACATGAAAATGTGTGTGGAAATCCAATATATAAAAGAGATAAAATTGCAACTTTTAAATTTAAATGGGGTTGTTTTGGGGGAACTTCTCTTGCTCAAACTCATCCCACGATGGCCCCTGAGAGCCTGTCTCAGGAGTCTGGGTCTCCGGGGAACATTATTTTAAGCCTGCACTCCACCACCCTGTCTTGACTCCATTTAGTCCAATTTTCCCTGCAGCCACACTGCTGAGGGGCAGGTTTTGAATCTATGCTATCTTCTCTGGCTAGACATCCTTACTTTGGACTTTTGCCACCTTGAAATCTTGAAATTTTCCATCTTTCCCTCTTGAAATCTTCCACTGGCATTGTAAGCCTTACTCTGACCTAATTATTCATTCACTGAACACTGATGTCTAACCTGTACCCAGAGTTTTTGGCACAGGGAGGACTGAGAAGAATAGATGTTGTGCCTCTGATGGGTTCCCAAGCTTGTGTGGGAGAGGGATACACACAGACACAGATGAATACAATAAAGGTTGGAGCAGCCACTGCTCACCTGAATCTCACCTAAACCCTCCGTTCTTTTTTCTCTCGGATGCCTGGTTGTATCCTGTGATGGGCAGTGACTGAGCTGGAGCCAGCAAAGTGAGCCCCAGCGGTGCTGACTGACCTCAATATTGTGATGCCACAGGTCTTGTCTGATTCCCCACTATGGTTCCTGGATCACTGTTCCCTTTAGCAACCACTACCTGATGAAAATCTAGAGTTAGAATCATACCTCACTCAGACCCCCAAGCCCTCACTCCAACAGGAGGACCAGTTTATGACTGTGCTAGCACCTGCAGTATGGGGCTCTGCCTAACTCCTGGCCTCTGCCTGCCTTCTCCCCTCATGGTGGAGTTTATTTGACCCCCTCAAAGCTAGAGGCCATCTCCCACTGAAGTGGGTACCCCCAAAGGTCCTTTGTTTGCCCGGAAGAGAAGAATCTGTTGTCCTAAAAATATGGAAAGATCCCCACACAGCTCCAGTAAGTTTTAAAGATTCCTAAAGGACGTTCAGCCTTGTGGTGCCCCCTGACCAAGTCAAGACTGCTACCCTTTTCTCTCAGTCTTGGCTATGGTCCTGGTCCTCTCTGAGACGCCTTCATCTTTGGAAGGCTCTGAATGTCCCCAGAACATCACGAGGGTCTCCCCTGTGCTGTGGGACCAGGTCTAATTTAAGCTTGAGGTCTAGGAAGCTTCTCCCTTGGTAGACCCTAGAGTTGGGTCCATTAGTAAACTCAAAACAACTCAAGTTAATTCAAGTCAACAAGTCAGTTCTACTCAGCTCAACTCAACCCAACTCAATGCATACTTACTGCATATCTCTTTGTCTATTCCTTACTACCTGAGCCAGGCTCTGGTTTGGGTAAAGTTAGAATCTGACAATTAACAAGGCACAACATTTATTCTCAAGGGGTTTTCTATTTGGAACCTAGATTTAACTCTCACATTCTCCTCGAGCTGAGGGAATCCCTTCCACAAGGGACCACAGAAAGAGCATCCCTTTCTGGCCTGGAGACAGCAGCTTACTCCCTGGGGTCTGTTTCACAAGACTTCTCAAACTACTCTCCTGAACTTCTCTGACTTCAAGACTTCAGACTGCAGCATTAGTTGGTCTCTCACCCTTCAGGATATGATGAGTCACAAGGGTCCTGAGTAATTCATTCATTCACAAACGTATATTGAGCACTTATATGTGCAAGATACCTTACAGACATTGTATCATTCAATTCTCACGGCAATCACTGTGGATGAAGAACTATTAAGAGGTCAGCTAGGATGTAACCCAGTGCTAATTCCAAAGCCCAGGCCCCTTCCATCTCATCCCACTGTCTCTTAGAACAACTGAATAGGATCCATAATAATGGATAGAGATCACCATAATAATGGATAAAGATGGATAATAACATCCATATCTCTATCCATCATAATGGATAGAGATCACTTTAACAAACGCATTCTATAGGGAGGGAAAGAGTAGGTTAATGAATATTTTATGTAAGGCGAAATCCCATTTGACCAGTTTAGCAGAATTCTTTCAGAAGTGAACTATATACAGAGATAAAGGGTGACTTTCACAAAAAGCCTTTGTTAAGTTTCCATCCCAAAGCCTGTTAATAAAATTGATTCATTATAGAATTGGGCAGGGATGGGTGGTGAGTGGGAGGGAGTCTATTTTTGCATGGATAGAGAACTGGCTTAGAGAAAAGAAAGAGAGGGTGGAGATAAATGGGTGCTTTTTCAAATGGAGAACTAGGGTTCCCCAGGAATTGGTACTGTGTTTGGTTTTATATAACACCCAGTGCACAAGCTTTGAGAACCTAGTGTGTGCAGGTCCTGCATTAAGCATGGGGGATACCCAAACAAGCCAGACTCAGCTCGGCTCCTAGAGGAGCCCAGGGAAGGTAGTGCTCAGGGACAGCTCCAAGTTTACAGAAGCTCCTGAACAAGAGCTTCTGTAAAGAACAGTAAAGAACAAGAGCGTCTCCAAGAACAGAAGCTCCTGAGGGGCTGAAATGGCATGACACTGGAGAGAAGCTAAAGAAGGTTGCTGGGGGTTGGGAGAGAGCCCCAGATAGCCGTCAGAAAATTTGAGCTCTGGGACCAGATCTGCTATTGACCTGTGTGTGACACTAAGCAACTTCCTTCCCTCTCTGGATCTCAGTTTTTGCTCCTATACAATGGAGAAATTGGACTAGATGATCTTAAAGGGTGCGGTGTTCTGGATGAAGGACATCCTTGAAATAGGACCTGATTATGAGAAAGTCTTCGTATACTGTGGCCAAAATATCTCCTTCTGTCCCTGCACTGTGATGGGAGACCACTCTCTCTCTCTGTCTCTCTTATTTGTGAACGGTGAGGATGAGGCAAACAGCCATGAGGTCTGTGGTGCTGGGGCTCTGAGCCCAGCCTGGAATCCCTCAGTGGCATTCTCTGCGAGTGACTCAGCATCATAAATAGCTCCCATCTGGATGAGCAACGATATCTATAGCGATCGGGCGATCTCTATATCCACACACACTCTCTCTGTGCAAATATGTGGCTCACTGTATGCTAAATACGAGGTGGCCTGGAGACGTTCCTCCTCTTAAAAGACTATTTGGTATGAAACTCAAGACTGTTTATTTAAAGAAACAAGTTTACAACTATGCACGTTGGATTACTGGTAGTGGGTGGTGGGGAAGAGGCGATGTGGATGGATGAGGGATGCTGGGTGTGATCCAAGCTTGGGGGCCACCTAGAAGAGTAACCAAGGCTGACTGGTCCACCTTTCATCTTTTTGTCTGCAGCGGGGTGGGGGGGGGGGGGGTAATGAACATCACACGTGAGATGCTTGAGATCCTGGGGTAGGGGTGCAGAAGGGAGTGTTGACCTCATCAACGCAGAAAGCCACAGCTCAGCAGAAAAACATAGGAACTGGGAGCGAGAGGAAAGCGAGTTTCCAGCCCTGCTCTGCCCTGCCATTGATCTCGGGCAATTCATTAATTCACTCATTCGTTCATCTAACAAATACCAACCACCTACAATGTGCATAGACCACTCGGGGATAGAGACAAGAAAAAGTGGGTTGGAATTCAGGCTTAACCACCTTCCACCTGTATGTCTTTGGGCAAGTTGTTTCCCCTCTCTGTGCTTCAGTTTCCTCATCAGTAAACTGGGGATCCATCCCTCAGGTCTTTTGGGGAGCATCACTGGATAAGGTAGCATGCACAGGGAAGGGTTTGTTGTAACACAAGCTAACGCCGTTCTAACAAGTTGCTAGATTGACCCTTCTCATTCCCACTTAGGAGTACTCTTGGCAACTGCAAAGGGGAAGTGATATCATGGCCCCCTTCCCCAGGAGTGAGGGGCACTCTGAACACTGCCCATGGGTGTGACCGTGGGTGGTACCCTTACCTTTGCTTCCTGGCCGAGCTCTGATGGGGGAGACTTCAGTTACTGAGCAGAGCAGGTAGCATGCCAGAGACGCACAACTTCCTGGGGGAGGAGAGAGGGTGTTAAGGGCTGAGGGGAGAGAGCTGCGGGGGGAGTGGCTTCCTGAACCCCAGACCCCCTGAGGGCATGCCCGCAGCTCTGTTCCCTGAGGGCATGCCCTTGACTCTGTTGAGGCCACACTGATCCTCTGGATTCCAGCAAAGGGCTGGGCAGGGTGGGGCCCTGCTTGGCATGAGACCCAACCCCTGGGCCCCCCTCACCTACTCCTGACGGCAGTTGCCAATCTTGGTCACTGGTTCAGGCAATGCTTCTGTGGTACCACTGACCGCACTGTTTTCTGGCTTAACTGTGATCTCTGACTGGTGTCAATGGATGGGATTTACTGTCAGTCACATCTGGGTTTGAATTTTTGTTTTGGGGAAATCCATTACATTTCTCTGAGCCTCAATTGCCTCATGTATAAAATGGGGCTACTAACAGCACCAGCGTCGTAATTAAGCACCACCTTAGTGCGTGTTATTATTATTGGCGGTGGTGTTAAATAAGATGTTGTCTGTGAAGATTTCTATTATATGGTAGCCTCTCAAATCCTAGTTACCGTCCTCTGCTTTCTCCTAGGAGGCACCAAGCATTGCGGAAAAGGCAACGGGTACCCAGTAAATATTTGTCGACCGAGCAGCGCTCGACAAATTTGCCCCATTTGCTTTCACACAGTTAGGAAGAATGAGGTCAATGTTTCACTCGCATTTTATAGATGAGAACACAAGTGCCGAGAGGGGAAATGATCTGCTCAGTTTCCCACGGGGCTGAGTGTGGAGACAGATGAGCACCCACAGCCCCACCTTTCTACCCTGCTGCAGTCAGCTCCTCTCCTGGCTGGACGCCAAGGCCTCAGAAACTGCAGGGACCTGCAATGTTTGCTCGGGGACCTGAGCACCGCCTGTCACCTCCGCCTCGAGTATTTTCTCTTCCTTCCATAACCATGCTCACCGTGACTCACCAGGTGGAGATCCTGATCTCATCAACGGAGGTGGGGCCTGGGGCTTTGCCCCAGGTCAGGGATTCCAACAGATCAGCTGACTCAAGGCCCTTTCCATGACTGGTGGTCTTCTGCTCCGCCCCCCAATCCCTCTACTAAGATAGGAGCTCAGCGAGGCAGGGCTCCACCGCTGGTTCCCCAGAGTCTGGCACTTAGCAGGACTTGATAAATATCTGTTGAGTGAGTGAATGAATGAGTACATAAGAGGCTGAATGACTGTGCCAGGCCACGTCCTAAATGCTGGTGACACAGCAGTGAAAAGGGCAGGTGTGCTCCCTGCTCTGAGGGAGCTGACAGTATTTGAATTTAAAGCCAGCAACTGGATTGGAAACAGGGCAGAGTTACTGTTTCCAGACTGGCAACGCGGGGGAGGTGGAGAGGAAGAGGGTATGCAGGTAGAGCCTGCTGGCTACCAGGAACATCTCTGAGCAAACGGCAGCCTCCCTGGGCTCAGGCAAGGGCCTGCGCGTACCGAGTCAGGAGGCTGACCTTCACTGGCAGTTTGGGGTTAGTAGATGCAAACTCTTTCATTTAGAATGGATGAACAACAAGGTCCTACTGTAGAGCACAGGGAACTCTATCCAGTCTCCTGGGATAAATCATGATGGAAAAGAATATAAAAAGGAATGTATATGTGTGTATAACTGAGTCACTTTGCTGTACAGCAGAAATTAACACAACATTGTAAATCAACTATACTTCAAAAAAAAAAAAAAAAGGCAAGGAAAGAAAGGTAGATGTTGCAATTAAGTATTTCGTGTCTACCTACTGCTGAGTCCCAAAGAGCTAGCATGTTGCCTGGCACATAGTAGGTGCTTAATAAATTTTGTTCAGCGAATGAGCGTGTCGGAATGACACAGGTCTAGGGGCTTGTGGGAATCAAGAGTGTTAACTATCAGAATTATTATGCTGACACTTGAAAGGGGCTCTGCTCTTTCTGGAGCCCTTTCAAGCCGTGGTGATGATTCTCACTGAGCAGGTGAGGGACCCATGTGGCAGACGTTTACAAGTGAGCCCTTTGTGCTGGCGCTAGTGGTATTGACGTAAACAACAGCACAGTGGCAGCAGTTTCAGTGTACTTGTGTTGTGTTAAGCTCTTCACATCCAAAATCTCTAATACTCCATTAGCCTGGCAAGGCCAGGGTCACAATCCCCATCACACAGAGGAGGGCACGGAGGCTCCGAGGAGTCTTGATTTTGCACAGTTGTAACGTGGGTTAAGTCTAGGAGTGAGATGTAAAAACCTCTTAGCCTAATGGGGACGCAAACAGGAAAGTGGATAGTTAAAATCTGATGTGACACCCACCTTCAGGTGGGTTGGCCAGAGGTGCCTCACTGCCAGGAGGCAGCAGGGTGGGCTTCTCTGAGAGGGTGAGTCTGGAGCTGAGGCTTAGAGGACAGCGGAACAGGACGGGTCTCCCAGGCAGAGGGAACAGCATCTGCAAAGGCATGGAGTGAGCATGGTGTACCCAGGCATTCGGAGGGTTAGGTTTGGCCAGAGCCTTGGGGAAAGAGATGAGGCTGGGTGTTTGTTGGGACCAGTTTTAGGGTCTAAATTTAGCAGGGTGTGGGCTTCACCCCAAGGGTGATGGAGGGCACTGCAGCGCTTGGCATTGTGCTCTAGAGAGCTCCTTCTGGAGCCAGAGCTGACGGGGTTAAGGGGCATGGGAGGAGGAAGCAGCAGGACTTGTGTTTGATGAGCTACAGGATACAGGGAGAAACGACCTGGTCTCCTGGCTTGGGTGGTGTGTCGAGGGCAGAGATGAGGGGCTGTCTGTTGAGAGTCAACCTCGCCTTTGGCTGACCCACCCTGTAGAGTTAGGGGTCCTCCCTCAGCTCCAAGAAGAGCACTGTCAGGTCTTGGTCTCTGGCCCAGCCCCGGCCCCAGCTGAGCCCTCCTCTGCCACCTGACTGCTCCCAAACTCTGTCCTAGCAACCTTGCAGGCTTCACCCTGGCAACTGCAGCCTCTGCACTCTCGTCCTCTGATTGGGCTGGAGTGGAAGGAGGAGGTGGGACACCTCCTGTCCACTAGACCTGCCCAGGGAACAAGCCCTGCACCCCTGGCCGCCGGCACCCTTGGGTTGATCAGGTGGAGACAGGCCTATCAGATGAGGGACGTGGGTCTGGATACTGGACAGGACCCTGGACTGGGAACCTTGTGAGCTGGGTTCTGACCCCAGGGCTGGTGCTCTGTCATTGTGACCTTGGTCAAGGCTCTTCCCTTCCCCGGGCCTTAGTTTTCCCTTTGGTAAAATAAAGAGATTGGACAGCACCATCTCTAGAGTCTAATATTGTCTTATTCCAGTTATTCTAGTTTTTAATCTTTTCCATGGTTATTGGTTGGATGCTCTGTTGCTGGCATGGATTTTAGTGTTAGACTCCAGGAATTTAAATCCTGGCTTACTTGGACAAGTCACTGCACATTTCTGAGCCTAGATTATTTTCCTCTGTAAAGTAAGTAAATCTCATGCTATCTCAGCCAAAGGGTTGAGAGTCAGGTGAAATGGTATGACTGAAAGTGCTTTGTAAATGGCAAAGAGCTATACAAATGTTACCTATTTCATCACGTGAGCTGTGTGCAGTAATGACATATGGAACCCCACTTTCCTCCCCCTCCCACCACCAGCAACAAGCATTTAGTGAACACCTACTGTGTGCCAAGCACTGTGCTGATCTTCAGCACGACGATGCTCTTCACAACAATCATTAGGATACTTGCTATTATTATTATTCCCATTTTCCAGATAAATGGAGGGCCCACATGGTTATGTATGGAAGGAGCTCAGCCAGACTCCCTGGCTTCAAAACTTGACCGTTTAAAATTTAACGAGGTGACCACATCAGGATCTCTTCTCTCCATCTTGGGATTTTCCTCTTGGCCGGCCCTGTATCTTCTCCCTCCCTCTCCTGCCTCATGGCATTAGGATGCTGCCTGTGAGGCACTGTGGTGCCCACCCGACAGCCAGCCAGCTGATGGATTTATTTCCCAGCGGGGGAATCCATCACTTTGCTTGCCCGTTGGCTGACCTGCTCTGGAGATGGCAGCAGGGACTGCGGGCCTGAAGGGGTCCAGGAGATCACTCTGATGTGCGCGTTGCCACATCAGGTCCCTTACTGGAGGGGTGATGGAGGGAAGTGACTCAGAATTTAGATTCCGTCACCCCTCTGTTTCAATGAGTCTTCAAGGCCCTGTCTGCTCTGGCCCTGGTCAACCTCTCTGTCCTCTTCTCTACCACCCTCCCCCTCACTGACTAGGTTTCTGTTCTGTGACCTCGTCAGGCTTATTCCTACTCCAGGACCTTTGCACTTTCTGCCTGGACATGTGTTTCATGGCCAGCTGCTTCTCCCCATCCAGATGTCAGCTTCAATGCCCCTTCCTTCAAGTCTCCCCTGCCTGCCTTATGTAAGTATCCCCGACCCTCCTTAGCACACTTCCTCTTTTATTTCCTTCCTAGCACTTATATAACTTGGTGGAATTATATTGGTTTACTCGCTTGTTTCCTGTCTCCCCACTAGAATGTGAGCTCTGCAAGAGATGGGCCTGTATCTTGTCTATCTTTTTCTTCATTGTCTCTCCAGCTCCTGCAATAGTTACTGGCCCATCATAGGTGCTCTGTGAGTATTGAGGGATCAGTGAGCCATACCCTGAGCTTCAGTTTCCACATTTGTGAAACGAGGTAACAACCCGAACCCCACAGTGTCAGAATCAAAAGAAAATGACCCAGGCGGGCCGGCTGTATTATCCCCATTTTATATCTGATGAACTTGAAGCTCAGAAAATGCAGGGATTTGTCCAAAATCACCCAGCTTGGAAGTGCTGGGGCTATAGGATTCTCTCCAATTTGGAGAAGCGCCTGGTCCCAGGCCTGGCTCGGAGTAGGCGGTCAGCAACGTGAGAGCTGGATCTCAGCGCCTCTGAGTCTCTTGTCATCTGCTGCTTGAACAGCAAGACCCTACTTGCCCGCCCGGCCGTCCCAGCAATCTGACAAGTCAGAGACAGGA